AAAAAAGAGAGAGGAGAGAGAGACGGGAAAACGCCTCAATGCTTGAGGCTCAGGTGTATTCCTCAAGACTTAAGGGTGGTGTAAAGGTGTGGCCAAAACGACGCATTTGATCTTCTATCAATCTTTAAGGAATCAACTTCTAGATGATCATGGTTCAACTTACTGCTTTAATTATTGAAAGGGACATTAATACATCATTGTCATCTGAAGTATGCACATGATTTTTCTATTCCTTTACAGTTCATATTAGTTTTGTCCTGAGTGAAACACTTCTATCTTTGATAATTAATTAAAAAACTGTATAAGTTAACAATACTACAAGACTTATGTTTTTAAATTTACTATAAAAAAGACAAACCTAATACGACATGTAAAAAATGGAGAGTAATTATTGTAATGGTGAAATAAACCCATAGCGCCATGGCAAACTGCACGATTTCCCTGTATCGATCGCGTCGCGCCCATATATTTGACCTACAAACATGTGAGAATTTTGCGCTCGTATTCTGATTATGTGTCCGACGATTTGACACTGTGTAGAACCAGGTAGCATTTTTCCAACATTAGTTTGAGCCTTCAAGGTTAAGTTTATTATATGCTGAGGCCGTTTCGTTCACACTTCCAATACTCATCAAGGTCATATCATAGTGTTAGCGTGCCAAGAGAAAGTCTACTTCTGCTGACGAAACAACAAGGAAAGGTTTTCATTCCTAACCCAACTAGTAAGAGGCATTTACCTGTATGTCATTATAAAAATTTATAATTACCTATAAGCTATTAAAAAGTTTGAACGGTCATAAGTGCCACTGGTCGGAACTTTTTTACCCTCGATGCCATTCTCGTCATATTCTGTTAGTTTTCAACGGTTTAACCATCCAGACAAATGGTCCGGCTAGTTAAAATATCCAGAATGCCCCCATCTTATTTATAGCCAGCAACCCTATCCTCTACAGGCCCTCATCGGGAGCGGCAGTTGCAGAGGCCGACAGCTCCTCTGCAGCGGGCGGCGGGCAGCCGAGTCGCGTAGGGCGGTGCGGGCGCGTGGCTTCAAGGTCGTCTTCTTCCATGGCTTCACCGGACAGCAACTCCCGCGTCGACACCGGCTCCCATGACCGCACCGTACCTCGCCGCGTGGAGGCGCCCACGCTTGCGTCGTCCTCGGCTCCGACGTCGTGCTCTGCTCGGGCTCCTGTTTGTAGAACGCCTTTACCGTGGTGCCGCAGGACCTCCGTGGCCGCGCCGGTGCCTTTGCCGAGAGGATCAGCCCCGGCGTCTGCGTCCGCAACGACAACACCTGGCGCAAGCGCGGATGCGGCTTCATGGTGCAGTCGCAGTAGTTCTACGGGCGCTCCGTGGGATGTGCGACGCCTCGGTGACGATTCGCCGTGGACACCCTTCACTACCCCCATCGTCAGCCCCCGCCGCCGGCGTCGTCATCGAGTAGGCGCCTGTCCAAGGCTTGGATCGCGTTCGTCGGGGTGGTGATGCACTCATGCTGGAGTCCCAATGCTGGAGTCGTTGATGGGGCGGTGCGCCATCTTCAAGGATGCGGAGAGCGGGAGCCCCACGGCCGCTTCTGCACGCTGCGCAGCCTCGACTACTTCATTGCCACGGCGCGCACATGCCGCTGACGGTGCTGCTTTCGGCCAGCGACTTCGATCTCGGCGCCATATGGATGCTGGTTTCACGTACTCGACACTCGCAGCGGGCACCTCCTTTGTAGCGGGCGGCGCGGTGCTGGTCAGTGCCCCTTCTCGTCGGCCTGTGCAACGCTAGCTGCCCTCCAGATGCGGCTTTGGTCGCCGCAGACTCGGCTTCTTTTCGTCACATAACGCGACGTGTTCGATGATCCATGGACACTTCGGGCGTTATGGGCGAAGGAGCAGTTGCATTTTTTTTGAATTTAAGGAGCTGTTGCATTGATGATGAAGAAGTTGACGAACGCGTCGTCTCTACGGCCGGCCGGCCGGCTTGCAAAGGTGCACGTACGCCTTTCTGGTGATTGAAGAAGCTTATTGCTGCTACTTGCATATATGTGTACATATTTCTATTAGCTTGTCGCATACCTATATATATGTACATGATACACACATGCAACTTGCTAGCCTGTTTCTTCTGGCACACCTCACGTACATAGGCGATTAGTTCATGCATCCTGCCTCTTTTCTTTATAAGGGCAAATACGTGAATGCTTATACATTCTGGTTACTAGCTTGCTTCTTGTATTATTAGTCTGTGATCAGCAACTCCCACAGATAAATATAGACGACGCCATGTATAGTGGCTGCCTCTCTGATGGGCTCTCTTTCTTAAATGAGTTTGAGCTCCATTACGTATTTTGAGAAATATAATAATATATATATATATGCTTCCTACATGCAATGCAAGTTCCTGCTAACACTATATAAGTAAACACTAAAAAAGATTATTATGATGTATTTTGTCCCTTAGCTATATTTTTTTGTTGTGATGTCTTATGCTAAAGTTCTATGTAGTTTTCTTTTTTATCAGGTAGTACAAGTACTCGTTTTCGGGGATGATGGGCACGACGCTCCTCGTCCAACCGAACGCTCTCCTTCTCCATCCTCAATTTGGCGCCAAAACACTCATGCAGCGAGTGGCACCGGAGGAAAATAAAATTTCAGCCCGCTTCTCTAGTCTGAGGGTATTTAAGTCTTTTCGTAGCTCAGTTTGACACTGTTAACATTCAATGTGGGCGGAATGGCGTAGAGGGCAAAAAAGTTTCGACCAATAGCACATGTGACCGCTCAAACTTTTTAATGGTTTATGGGTAATTATAAACTTTTATAATGGCACACAGGTAAAAGACTCAACTAGAACTTGGAATTGGCCATGTCTTTATCAAGTTATCAAAGCAGTAGAATGTGACAGAAGAATTATCCGTTCATCACCTTTACTTCTCTGACCAAATCCCCTTGTAGCAAAGCGACCGGTAAATACTATTACCTCTGGTTCCGAACGCAGGTCGTTTATGACATTAGCACATTCTAACGATGCGACATTGTGTTGCGAATAGATAACTTAACTTCTCATATTGAATGGTCCACGCTAAAAAAGTTTGACCCAATAGGATACTAATAAGACGACTTACATCCTGATTACGAGGTGAGCAATTCCACCACATATGTTATATTGGGCCTGTTACAGGCATATAAGCCCCATATGGCTTATAAGAAGTTTAAATGGCAAAAATACGATGTGATTAAAAGCTAAACGGCTCTAGCCACGTTTCTCTCCATAGCACCCATTTTTATTAAGAACATAAAAGTTGTGTCGGACCAGCTTATTTTGATCATTTTTTTTCTCATAGAAGCCTTTTTTACCACTCTACTGAACTGGATCATTGCATCTCCTACAAGTTGTCTAAAGTCAATTTAGGATATAAGAGATCACTGTTTTAACATACTACCTAGAATTTGTCTCCTATACTTCTTTAGGGATAGAGAAGATGAGGTTGTCTCGTTTATTAGGAGAAAGGAGGATGTTTTTAGGACATCTATAAAACTTATAGGGACAGAAGATGAGATAGGAAATCTCCAACTTTATATCCTAAAATACTGCTTTTTAGGTATAGAAGAATACCGAATGGAGATGTTGACGGCTTCCTTTCCCAAGTAAGAACAGAGTAATGGACACTGGACACAGTAACGGAAGCATTTGCATTGGCCATTCGGTGCCTAGCCTAGTGAGTGATCCTCTTGATTGCAATTTTTGTTAGAATATACCATCTTGAATAGTGAAAACATATATTGAGAAAGTATTTTTCATGATGAATATAGTAATATCAACCATGTGTTGCAAATCTAAATAACTTAACTTTTCAAATACTTGTATTGAAAAATGGTCCGAGCTAAAAAAAATGTTTGACCTGATAGAATACTAAAACGACCTGATTAGGAGGGTTAGAGCAACTCCACTCGATCTCTTGTCCTATAAGTTGTTTTAGAAGAGTACCTTAAAATCATTTTAAGATATAAGAGATCACTGTTGTAGCAGGATATCTAAAACTTGTCTCCTATTATTTAGGGACTGGGGAGAAGAGTTATCTCCTTTTATTTAGAAACACGAGGCTGTTTTTAGAATATTCTTAAAAAGTTATAGTTACAGAAAATAAGATAGGAGATTTACTATAATTTATTTATCCTAAAATGTTGTACTCTCTCTGTTCCAAATTATAAAACGTTTTGGTATTCCTAGATATTTAATCCATTCTAAATTATAAGACGTTTTGACTTTTCTAGATATAATGTTTTTACTATGTATCTAGACATAGTGTATATCTATGTGCATAGCAAATACAACGTATCTAGAAAAGCCAAAACGTCTTATAATTTGGAACGGAGGGAGTACATAGTTTTCACTTGGTATTTAGGCCGCGTTGGTCAGACTCCTTTTCGGCTCCGGCTCTTCGAAGGAGTCCTACCAAACGATTTATCAGGAGCTGTTTGGATCCCGTTTCAGTGAAAAAAGAAGAAACCTTGGTAAAAAGCCCTCCCAAACACACCTTTAGACATAATTGTATATTTATGTGCATAGCAAAAGCTTTTCCCAGTAATCTAAAACGGAGGGAGTATTCTCAGGTATAGAATATTGATAGGATCTCCATGGCAGTTTCCCCTTCCCGAGTAAGAACAGAGCAATGGACACTGGACAGCAACAGAAGCATCTGCATTGGCCATTGGGACGGAACATTCATGTACAACCATGCCTGGCCTAGTGGGTGATCCTCTTGATTGAAATGGGGAATCCTTCCTGCCACCAATTCCTGCCTGTCATCTGTCTCCCTCGCCCGCCCCACTGCTGCACATCGAATTCAGCAAATCCATCCTTCTCCTTCAGACACAGAAAGAGAAAAAAAGAATCCAGCTCGCAGTGGCAGCCCATCCATGTCCATGCCTATATATACCGGATGCTCTCCGGCCCGACGTGCTCGTGCTCGTCCTCGCCCAGCACCGTAACCACCGGACAGAGCACGCACCATGAGGATCACCACCACCACCGCACTGCCGCTCTTGGTAGTGCTCTGCCTCGTGCTGCCGTTGCTCCCCGGCGCCACGGCCAAGGCGGCGCGGCCGCGGCAGGGCGACTACCTGGCGCGCCTGCGCGGGTCGCCGCGCCAGTCGTCGTGGCCGGCCGAGTCGGCGTCGCTGGCGGTCGCGTCGGCGACGGACAGAGCGGCCCGGCACGCGGCGTCGCCGCCCATGGGGCGCAAGGAGGACGACCGCGTGGACAAGCTGCCAGGCCAGCCGTCGGGCGTGGACTTCGAGCAGTACGCCGGGTACGTAACGGTGGACGCCGCGGCCGGGCGCGCGCTCTTCTACTACCTCGCCGAGGCCGTCGGCGGAGGGTCGGCGGCCAAGCCACTCCTCCTCTGGCTCAACGGAGGTATGGCTTGCTTGCTCACTCACTGGGTAGCTGGGTTGACTTAACTGCGGTCACGTCACGTGCTGGTTGCTTCGATCTCTTCTCACGTGTTGGATCCCCTGATTCCCGCCATGGACGGACACGGACGGACAGGCCCCGGGTGCTCGTCGCTGGGGTACGGCGCCATGGAGGAGCTGGGCCCGTTCCGGGTGAAGAGCAACGGCAAGACGCTGTACCGCAACCCGTACGCGTGGAACAACGCGGCGAACGTGCTGTTCCTGGAGAGCCCCGCCGGCGTGGGCTTCTCCTACTCCAACACGACGGCGGACTACGGCCGGTTCGGCGACAACAAGACGGCCGAGGACGCGCTCCAGTTCCTGCTCAACTGGATGGACAAGTTCCCCGAGTACAAGGGCCGCGACTTCTACCTCGCCGGCGAGAGCTACGCCGGCCACTACGTCCCGCAGCTCGCCCACGCCATCCTCCGCCACGCCGCCGCCGGCAAGCCGTCGTCGTCGCCCATCAACCTCAAGGGCATCATGGTATGTACGTGTAACGTACGTGACCCCGCCGGGCCGTGCAGCCAATAATGCTGGTACGAATGTACGATGCGGACGAGCCGACCAACTAATTAACTGAGGTTTCGTGTCGTGCCGGGCGAAGATCGGGAACGCGGTGATCAACGACTGGACGGACAGCAAGGGCATGTACGACTTCTTCTGGACGCACGCGCTCATCTCCGACGCGACGGCCGACGCCATCGACAGGTACTGCAACTTCAGCGCCGCCGCCGCGAACTCCGACAAGTGCGACGAGGCGACGTCGGAGGCCGACGAGGCCCTGGAGGACATCGACATCTACAACATCTACGCGCCCAACTGCCAGTCCGCCGACCTCGTCTCGCCGCCGATCACCCCCTCGGTGCGTATTACGTCAGCCCGCCGTCGATCTCATCGCTAGCTAATATCATCAGCTAATAATAACGTGACATATAGATATATAAATGTTGGTGCAGATGGACAACTTTGATCCGTGCTCGGATTATTACGTGAACGCCTACCTCAACGACCCGGACGTGCAGAAGGCACTCCACGCAAACGTCACCCGCCTCGACCACCCCTGGTCCGCCTGCAGGTACACCAGCCCGTCCGTACCACTACTCCCAAAAAATTTAAAAATCGGCCTGTTTAATTTGGAACTCACGAATTTCACCATATTTCAAACGGAGCATGTATATGCATTTCTGTATAGTTTTGCACATGATTTGGTCGAAATCCAAGTGGTCTCATGTTCACAACAGCTAGGCCCGGGGCACGATTGGCTTTCGTGCCTGCAGATATTTTTCCATGCTTGTTTGCTTGTTTCACCGGTCGCCAGTCTACTGATGATTAGCAAGCTGCTGTACTGCACGACACAGGCATCAGTCAAGCACAATCATTCAGACAAATTCGCCCTGGCTTACGGCATACGAAATCCACACTGATTCCGTTCGTTCCAGTGCACGCTAGGTTCGATCGAGCTGGATTACGGCATAATTATTCACAATAACATAATTGGATTAGGTTCAGCACATGCACGGAGAGAATAGAAAGTGATCTCGTGCATCTGCCCTGAATAATAATCCCCTCAGATCTCGTCCGTAACAGTATGATATATAATGGGCGCTATTGCGTGTGTGTAGATATATATGCATCCGTGAACGGTAGGTTTAGCACAGGAACAACGCAAAAGAGGCAGTAGGTGGTTGCATGCTCAAACAAAAGCTTTCGAACTTTCACCAACTGCACAGCTTGTTGTTTCAGTAGCTTGTTTCAGTGAGTTGGGCAAGCGTGCTGCTCCAGCTTCCAAACCAATGGGGACGCAACCGTGTTCCTCGGCTTCCCCTGCATGGCTACATCCCTGCTTCCGAGGCATCTCAGTTATGTTTGGATCACCGGACTAAAATTTAGTCCATCGTTGGATAATAGACTGGTCATGGGCTAAATAAAATTTTCTTTTTCCTAATGAGTTTTACTCATTAATTAGCCTCTATTAATTTTTGTCAGATCATGATTAGTTCATGTTTAGGCCTTCAATTTGGCATCCAAAACATGGACTGAACTCCATCCAAATAGGCCCTTTAGTTTTGTTTTCTAGGACTTGTTTTTCCCAAGGTAACAATGAGAATGCAAGGAATGCATGGCAATAGTTTAGGGTTCCTGATTTGACTCTTCTACATATAATTCCATTCCATGCACCCGGAGTCCAAGATCTGATAGCACTGCCTGCATAGTTTTCATGCACCCATGATTCTTGGAGTGATCCAACGCACATGACGAATAGTATATACCAGCATTATTTCCCCCATACATGTTCTTTGGGATTATATTACATACAGTATAGTTGTCAAATTTAAATATATTCATGAAGCAGTACATTCCACATCTCAGACTTCAGAAATACATGCATGGATGGATCTACCGGAATTGCTTGCGCATCTTGGAAGTAATCTGTGATGATTGATCCACTTGTTGCAGCCCATGCCGCGTGCTGCGACAATTGATTGGGCCCATGTGAAGCGGCAGTTATCCGCAGCAGATGAACATGGTTTAATATTATTAATTATCTTGCCAAAAAAAACTCAATTTTTTTAAACAAAGCTGTTCAATCTGTTTTCAGTGATGTCTTGAGACGCTGGACTGACAGCGCCACGACCGTGCTGCCTATTCTCACGGAGCTCCTCAAGAACGAAGTCAGGGTCTGGGTGTACAGGTACGCCAGCACAGCATCTCTTTCAGCTCCACTGATGCGGCAAGTGGAAATCGAAACGTACTAGCAGTAGCACTCAGCACGATGTCACTGTGATTTTTGCAGTGGAGATACCGATGGGAGAGTGCCGGTCACTTCCAGCAGATACTCCGTGAACCAGCTCCAGCTCCCAGTTGCTGCAAAATGGAGGGCATGGTTCAGCAGCACTCAGGTGCTCTACTCAACACTCCCCTCCCCTGTTCTCTTCACTGCAATATCAAAAGCAAACATAAGCAGAAACAAAGCATAGGTACCTAGCTAATATAAGTGAACGGCCACTGAATTCATGCAGAAGAGTACAAGAATCCTCTGATGACAGTCTCGATGTATAGAGAAGAAAATTTTGCAGTCTGAATAATATATATGAGTTTCTGCATTTTGTGGTGATCATGCATTTCAATGTCATGGTATGAACTGAACTTTTCAGGGCGCCGGAGAGGTGGGTGGCTACGTTGTGCAGTACAAGGGCAAGGAGAAGGGCAGCCTCAGCCTGGTCACCGTGAGAGGAGCTGGACACGAGGTGCCCAGCTACCAGCCAAAGCGAGCGCTCGTGCTTGTCCAGGGTTTCCTTGCAGGCAAAACGCTCCCTGACTGCAAAACATGCGAGTCGGCTTAGCGTTTGGGAGTAGCAGTACAGAGAGTGTGCACCGGCAGCACTACAACAACATGTATCCATTTGATCCAGTACGAGAGAGAAAAGAAAGCGAAAGAGAATCAAGTTAGAAATAGAAACATACGCACCTTGCAGATCATGTAACTGCAGGTCTGCAAAAGGCAATTATATAGTCATATACTCCTAGAGAGAAATCTGTACACGAATGAAGATGGAATCAAACAAATCATTTTTAGAGTGATGAAATGAATGAACAACACTACAAAAGTGTGCTAAAAAAAGTCGTGCTTCAATGTGTAATCACACATACTTCATCCGTCCAAAAATAAAATAAATTAACTCCTAATGTCATTATAAGTCAAACTATCTTAAGTTTGACTAACTTTATAGTGAACAATAACATTACTTATAACACTAGATAAGTAGATTATGAAAATGTATTTCATGGTGTATCTAGTGATACTAATTTGAAGTCATAAGTTTAGTCAAATTTAAATTAGTTTGATTTAATACAACTCTAAAGTCGATCTATTTTAGGACAGAGGGAGTACCAATCTATGAGATGATAAAAAACACATATGACAGAAAATGTTAGACGATGATACTTATGTACTGGAATCTTTTTATGAGACGACAAAAAAAACATATGACAGAAAATGTTAGACGACGATACTTATGTACTGGAACTTCGAGGAAATAATGTAACATCGGTTCCATGAGCTGAAAGTATTAAATAACATTTGAAGCATGGCGGAATGGCCAAGTCTCAGAATCTCAATCGTGCATCAGTGCAAACAAATCTTGCAGAAACAAAGAATTTCAGTTCCACGCCAATTCCTTTCTTCCAATAAAATATATTCTCTTCCTCGAGTGTACCAAACAATTCTGTCGTGCTTTCCAAGATGATACAGAAAAGAATGCAAAAGAAGACACCTGTTGCACAATACATTGGCTTACAAGATCAGTTAAATATACATGCATGCAATGGCACGCTTCTAGATTTGGATGGCCATAATAATGGTGGCAACATCGCGTTATCTGATCTTGTATAAAAATCATAACAATCCACAAATCTTGTGGGGTGAATCAGCCTACAGTTCATTCTTCCCCTTGATTCTCTATGTGGTTTACAGTTGGGGAACCTGTCCCTGTTAATCCTTGCATCTTTTTGCAGACATAGACATAATGGGAGTCAGGATCCTCTGGAACAAATCCATCAGGGAGTCTACCCCTCTCTGTCAGTGGAACAGGATCCAATACACGCCTCCTTATCTCTTCAGTGAATCCAGGTCTTGCTGCAATACATTAAAACAGCAAATGATGAAGCCAGCATAAAGGTGTTCATTTTTTTTACTCAGCAGGGATTTACACAGCTATCTGTTTTCATTTTATCATACCATTATTTATCCTCTTTCTGTACCACTATGTGGGGTAGTATGGACAACTAATTCTACTAAAAGATGTCATTCTTCTGAAGAATATTACATGGGGGAGCAAAGGTGTATGTTGTCTAAAGCATCTTCATAGATAAAATAAATGAAATATTTCAGTTAGACAACATATATGTCTCCAAAGATATACAAAATATTTCATTCTACTAGAAAATATTTCATACCAGTTAGACAACATATACGTCTCCAAAGATATACAGGAAAAGGAAACATACCACGATATACAAAATTTACTGTCAGTTAGACAACATATATGTCTCCAAAGCAAGGGATAAAAACTCAAACTAAAGTTTTATACGTACGTAGAATGTAAAGTACAATTTTCCAGTCGCATGCTGATTGATTCAAATGAGGCACTCGTACCGATGGATCACCATATGTTATCTACAAGTCCAGACACGAAAATGGATCAAAATATATATCAGGGTTTCAACATTTTAATTACTGTTGATGGGCTGTGTAGTGACTAAGGCCCATAGGCCCATGACTAAGAAGAGAAATGGAGAAATAATCTAGAACTGAGGCCCAAATCGTCCTCAACAGCACTACTTTCAGAGCAAATGTACACAGTGCTTACCAAAATAAAGACTCCTCCTGGTTTAAGAAGCCTGCAATAAAAAGTAAATAACTGATAAGGCTGCAGGGCTGTTGAAATTTATGAGATATCTTGGCGCAGATGACACTGCAGAGTGATACTTCAGAGAGGTAGCAAGACACTAAAAAACCTGTCCACTTCCAGAATCATCTGAGCTGCACTGAGAGGAGCATCCACACCACACTACGAAAGCAGCAAGACGGCATTGTTGAAGAAGTCCAGAAATAAACAAAAGGACACGGTGGCTTATGTTACCTACTTACCATCAATGAGTCCAGAGTACCTAGGAATTTAACAAAGCTAAGTAAGTGAAATTACAAATGCGTGTCAATAATGGCCACAAACAGAACATCATAGCAGGAATGCATACCTTTATCAATTGCACAATCAAACGATTCGTCAGGAAACATACTCATATCTCTAACATCCATGCGCAAGTCTGCAGGTCATAAGGGTATCAATGGAAGGTCGATTGCAGCTCCGAACAAAGGGAAATGATAAACAGTCAAAGGATACATTGCAGCTGCGGAACACTGAAGTATTTCTTTCTCATCATCTCAATCACAACCGAAGAGATGTCAATGTTCACTATCTCCACATAGCCGTCATTGACCATATCCTCCGACATGACTACAGACAGCAGAGCCAGAGAAAGGGAATTGGATTAGTAGATTAGGACGGAGAATGTGATTAAGGAAAAGAAGAAACACCTCCAAAGATTATGAACAATGGAGGTTTGCCTGGCAAGGACAAAAACAAACTTGTACCTCAGAATTAGCCTGATCAGAGTTGATTGAGACAATCGATTTTTTTTTTTTTTGAAACGAACCAGGAGAGCTGCCGATTATATTAAAAAGAAGAAAGCCCAAAGTGGGCACAACGATACAACAGCGACCAACTGTCACGCCGGAAAACAAACTCAACAAAGGGGGCAGACCCAATGCCGGAGGCTCCCACACGAGTGGGGTCTGGGGAAGGGAAAACAAACTCAACAAAAAGAAAAAAAAAACTCTGGTCGGTCGGATTGGAACATCGACACGAACCGCACAAAGCCGAAGCACAACTCAGAAAAAGAGAACCACCACCAACTCTAACCTACCAGCCGGTCACCACACTGCACTGCCAAAACCCCGGACAACAAGGACGTCAGGGCGAAAACGCCGTCGTCACCTCTCGCGCCGTCGTCACCGACGATGACCCACACCGAGCTAGCCTGCTGCCAAGCAGGGCTAGCCGCCGTAGATCGCTGCAAGCCACGTAGCACTCCCGCAATCGGATCCGCTTGCGCCGCCTGTCAAGACGATGTACCACACCGGACTAGCCACCGCCAAGCAGGGCCAGCCGCCGTAGTCCGCTGCAAGCTGCCAAACCAACGCGTGAGCAACTCCCTCTAGCGCTCACCAATCCGATCCTGTCCACCACAATCCAGACGCGTACACTGCAGCTTCCAGCAACCTAGCTGCCTCATCGAAGATAGAAGTGCCACATGGGTCCTCCAGCTGCCAGTCAGAAAGCCTCCTTGCGCCGAAACGACCGCCGCTAAGCGGGACCACCCGCCGCCAAACCACGCAGGTCACCTCGGCAACGCACTGCTGGCCACCACCTCCCACGCCGGCCTCCTCGCCAACTTCGCAGGTGCTGCCCACGCTGGCCTCCTCACCATCTTCGTGGGCGCAACTAGCGCACGGTCTCTCCAAGACCGTCGCCCTCCACCAAGCAGATGCCAAGCCTTCCAATCGTTGTGCGAACGCCCTCTTTCTGGCCACCTTCCGACGCCATTGGCACTAGACCCCGAATCCTCAACTAGCTCTCCACTTTGTCGGCAACCACCACAGCTGGCATAGCACGAGCTTCCTAGAGACCCTCCAACGAGGGGAACGACGCCACAAGCGCCGCTGTCGCCTAACCAGAAGGTCAAGATTTTACACCCAGGAAGAAAGTGCCACGCAAGGGAAGAGAGCAATTCGATGGACGCTTCCAAGGAAGTATACGGCGCCCGGAGGCGTCGCCGTCATCAGCCCGAAGAAGGGCAAGGCTTTCGCCAAGGCGCCCACCCCCTGCATGGACCTCGTTGCCGCTATTGCCAAGCGTGACTTGCCGCCCGACCTTGCCATCAGAGCGCTGCACAAGGCCGAAGCCGCGAGCCAAGCCCCAGGCTGCCGGAGTCCAGGGCAGCAAGGCAGCGTCGCTGCTGCCCAACTCCGCCGGTGGCCGCCGACACCACCAGTCGCCGCGCTCCACCGCCGCCATGCTGCACAGCGCGACCTTGACGCGCCGCCGCGAGTCCGTACCTCCGATGTCCGTCGTTGGGCCGCCGCCAGCCCAGAGGAGATCGGATCCGGCCGCTGGAGGACCGAATCCGCCGCCCATGAGCCCGAAACACCGAAGACGGAAGACCTCGACGGCGAGCAGCCACATTCGCCTCCACTGAGCCTCTGCGCAGCCACGCCTCGCCGGATCCACACGAGGGGGCTCTGTTATTTTTTACTCAACGGAGGAAAATAAATCATACAGCCAAGTGCTGGTTCCAGAGATGTGTGACTCTACGTTCAACATAAGGAAAAACAAAGAAACACTGCAGCTGCTTGAAGACGAGTAACATCAATAACAAGAGCATGCCATTTCAGTACTGCTTCACTTCACAAGTGGCCTAGCCGTAGTCCGTAGAGCAACCCACGGCAGCAGCTGGATTCTATTCAGAGTAAACAACAGATGAAGCACTATGCCTAACACGTGGACTCAAGAGAATGACTTCGCAGAAAAGGAGTAGCGCGACAGCGCGAGAAAGACCCTGTCCCGTTGCCATGATGATACGTAACTAAGCAAAGATACAAAAATAAGCGCAACCAAATCACCACCTAGGCACGAACACACTTTTGCAGAAACTATCGTGTGGCTAAATCCAAACAGCGGCTTGGCTTCTGTTCTATTCTACTACCGCCTACTGGTGCAAATGC